CACTGTGTGGCAGGTACCGACTGATACTCCCACCATTTGTGATAAAACACGTACAGAAGTTCTTGGCGCATTTTCCATTATTTGTTGGACATTTTCTTTTAATTCTTCAGTCCGCTTTTTAGGTCGGCCGCTTCCTTCTTTTCTTGTTACACTGCCCGTTTCACGAAAAACATTAACACAACGCTGAACTGCACTTTGAAAAATTTTGTACTCAACAACGCCGGGAAATTGATTTTGAAATTCTATGAAACATTCCTCAATAGAATACTTCCATATTCCATCAATCTTGCGTCCATTTCTAAAGTAGGACTCTATGATAAACACTTTTTGTTCTTGAGAAAACACCATTTTAAACGCTTTTTAAAACGAAAATATTCAAATTGATAGCGGCGATATAGCGCTTTGACAGATGACGTTTAAGTTCATTTGCTATACGCTACGCCCTACGTCCAAATTTTCAGAACCAACTTCACCACGTTTTTATTTGAACGCGCGTTAGAAGACAGAGATTAAATTATTATTATTATAAGAATCCCAGATTTCAAAACTCATACTCCGATAAGTTTTACGATTTCAAATCCAGACCAAATGAAGATATACCGCAAATACTGTGCTTTACGTCCGGCAGTTACTACAAGGCAGAAGGGAAAAATGTGTTAATCAAGTGGTTGGCGCCAACAAAATAAGGAATTTGCCAAAAGAAATAGCATCTTATCTCAATTTGTATCATCCGGAGACTTATATAGGGCACTGCTTTAAACGTTTTTCCGCCACTCTGTTAGCCGACGCAGGGGCCGATATTACCAACATTAAACGACATGGAGCTGGCAATCTAGTACGGTAGAGGCGACATAATATATAGCAGATTCTATGTAAAATAAAATTTGAATCGCAAATAAATTGTTACCATCTTCAGTAGAGCCTACGGAACTTGCTAATAATACAGCAGTAAACTTAAACAATTACAGCAGCAGTCTCATTGAACGCCCAGAACTAAATGCTACCATAACTGACAGCACTGGATTTGGCATAAATTTAACTACTGCAATATTGGCACTTTCAAGTTACATGTAGTGCAAAATAAATTGTTATCCTTCTGTTTATAATAGTTACTGTTTTGTACTGAAATTAACTTAAAGTGTATATTGTTTAATTAATAAAATCATAAATAAGTTTCGAAAAAATTACAAATTATTTTGACATTTGTTTTGTTCTAGAACGAAAAAGACTTTGGCGTTCTAGAAAATAAAAGTATTTTGCAGTTAGGTGACAAAAAAACTCCTTTTGTCAACTGAAAGTTTAACGAAAATGTCGACTTCTTATGAGTTTTCGAAAAAAATTAAATTTATTTTTATTTGCATTACAACTCGCACGATTGTAACTAAGAAATATTTAAATAGGCGGCTGTCGTGCTAATTTCTGTCACTAGATTTGGATGTCTCTAGTGGTACATTCGTCTTGCCTCGGCAAAGTATTTCGTACATTCAAAAAATACTAGCGGCATATCAACATATTCATCATAGTATAAAAAGTTATCATAAAAAAAAATTATTGAGTGAAAATCCAAGGAAGCACTCGCAAAAGACCTATTTATTAGCATGACAGTCGCCTACTTAAATATTTCTTAGTTGCGGTCGTGCGAGTTGTAATATAATGTAAAAAAGTAAGAGGTAAATGTTTTAAAATAAACCAGGCAGACACCTACATATTTTTGAAAATTCAATTTTTGTCAAACAAAAAAAGTTATATAAAAAAATAACTTAGGGGATGGTTATTTCAACCATTTTTCGAAAAATTGTTGAGAAGTTGCGTATGCATTAGTAGAGAGTTTGTGTAACATTTGACTATTATACCTTTTTTGGTTTTTAAATTACAGCCACTATTCCATTTTTTTAAAAATTGAGGGACTGTATCTCCTAAGGGGTGAACATTTTTATGCAAAACGTTTTATTTTTGGCTGCAGATTCATCGGCGCTATTTGTGCTACTTTTTTTAAATCCTGTATGTATATAGAGTAATCGTTTGTTTGCTTCTACCTGCACTCTTTTGTTTTTTATTGTCCTAGAATATTTTTTTTGATTTTTTTTATCATTTCTAATTTTCCATTCTCATAACTGACCATACAATAGTTGTCACGTTTAAATTCTAAATACCACGTGTATCGCTTACCACGCCTTTTATGATTGCTTAATACCTGTTCTAGATACCATTCTATATAATTTTTCTAATGAAATGCATGCTAATATGCATAAAAGTTAACAAACATATCAGTATGTACGTACCTACCTAGTAAAGTTACTGCTTTTCTATTTGCCCCAGAATTCTTGTCTTATTTTATACATAATTTATTTTCATAATTTTAGACCTATAAGCAGACTCTATTGGTTACCATTTATAATCAGAAATGTCAGTACCTACTTATCCAATTTTTTATCATCTTCAGGTATTTTCAATGCCTCAAGGAATTTTAAACTGAAAGAGAAACTAATAAATAAAATGGTTAGTGTTAAATTTCAGTGATTAAATAAAAAATATTCAGAATGATATAGATATCTTTTCCTATGTCCATGTTTTCCAAATTTGAACCCATCAGATATTTATTAAAAAATATATTTGTTCGTTTCGGTTATATGTAGCTATCTGCTATAACCAGTAGTTTATTTTTTTTATTTTAGCACCCTTATCTCATAAACCGTTAATATTT